TCAAGATGGCAGCGTGAAAGCTGTGACTTGCTTGAGCTCTCCCCAAACACCTCCAAATACCTATAAAAAATGGCTCTAAACAAAAAAAAGCAAAAGGTGACATCAACTCACCAGAAATAAATGACTTTATCTCTCTCTCTTTTTTTTAAATGCCATTAGCACAATTAGTATCTCTGGATAAATTTACAAGCAACAAACTTCTTTATCATATTATTCAATGAACAATCTTTTTAGGCAAGATTATAATTTCGAGTGGTCCTCATAATCTATTGTAAACTCCTAAAGATCAGAAACCATTATTTTTATACTATCCCTAGGCAATGCCATATACAGTTCACAAAGTGAGCACTTAAATGCTCTTGAATTAATATACCTCCATTAGGGAGGCTGAAAAGTCAGTCACTAAACATTTATTAAGTGCCTATGATGTGCCAGACACTGTGCTAAGTAATGAGGAGCTCACAGTAGATTAGGGAAAAGGAATACAGGAGGCAGAATACAGGCCTTTAAGTGCCAGGCTGAAAAATTTGCATTTGATTCTAGCAGCATTCTGGTAAAATCAAGTTCTGGTAGTACCAAATTCTTGAGCAGGAGAGTGACCAGGTTTAAGTTAAGATTAAGTAAGATTATTTTGGTAATTGTGTCAAGGATAGACTGGAAAGAAGAAATTGGAAGCAAGGAGACCAACTGGAAGAATACTGCAATAATGCAGAAAATAAATAAGTGATGAACAAGGATAGTGGTCATATGAATGGTGACAAATGGAGAGATGCAAAATTTTCATGGAGGTACAATGACAAGGCCTGGTAACTAATGGTATGTTGGAGGAAGGGGAGGAAAAGAAGAGATTAGGGGGATTAGGAAAATGGAAGAATCAAGGATGTCTCTGAGGGTACAAACCTGGGCCACTGGAAGGACAATAGTGCCTTCAACACAGATGGGGCAAAGTCTAGAGAAGGGTCAAGTTAAAGGGGAAAGATAATGCACTCCATTGTGGACATGCTAAGTTTAAGATGCAGATGACATGTCCAGGTGAAGATATGTCTCACAGGCAGTTGGCAATAAAGGGCAATTCTGTAATTATGAAAAGTAATGAGTTAAATATGTAGATCTGGGAGTAATTTGCATAAAAGATACATGGCAACTTAATACAATAAATTTAAAGTGAGAATATAAAAAGTAGGCCCAGAATAGAGCTATGGGGCCTACTACTACTACTAGTACTACTACTAGTACTACTACTACTACTACTACTACTACTACTACTACTACTACTACTA